ACGTGGGTAAAGGTTTTCTTTTTATGGAGTTGTCTAAGAACTTCAGACTCAATGTGCGAGATAAAACGACAATCAGCGGAAAAGGGAAATTCCTTACATTCTAGCTCCGACGTGACAAAATATTCTAAAAGTTTCTTTTCAGTTTCACTGACGACGTCACAAGGTCCCTCAAGATAAACGACATCCTCTGAACTGGTGACTTTAGACATTAAACCAGTCAATAGTTGCTTAGTACCTTCAGTTGGTTGCTTGAAAAGGCAATGATGAACATACAGAGCGATACCAGGAGGGGCCTCTAGTGGTCTACGTACGACTTCAGAGCTCTTCAATAAAGCCTGGATCCTTTCCTTGGCATCAGCGAGATCAGCAGTGACGTACCCATGAATTATTATACTGCTATTTTTTGTTTTTATTGAAATATCAACCAAGCAATCTTGCTCAATTTGCTGGATCACTGTTAAAAGCTTTGAACGAACTCTCTCCAGTGCTTCTGGTCCTGATAAAGTAATCTCTTTGTTTTTCTTTTTACGAATCAGCTTCATTATCTCTTGAAGGCTTTCCTCATTACGACAGCAAATGTAATCAGTAGCTCCATCGCTAGAAATGATTGCTGTTTTAGGATTTAGTGAAGAGAGTTTCCTTTTGAAAGAGAGGAAAAGGATCGGCTTAAACGGAGGAAGAGCAGATTTTACTAATTCCGATAGTCTCTTCTCCACATCAGCACGAGCTAGTGGTACATTATGAGACAAGCCATTCAGTGAAATCCCTCCATTAGAATAAGTAAGTTCTACTTGATATTGCATGAAAATATCATTAGAAAGAGTAGGATGGAATGCTTTTAATGCTTCAAGTTTGACCCTAGAAAAACAGCATAATAGTAATATATTGTCTAGTATTGATTCTTTAAAATTTAATGCTACAAATGTATTGTTCTACATGTACATGTAACTGTATGCATCCTACAACAAAATTTAAGCACATTATACAAGTACAATGACTCTCAGTGATTATCATTACCTTTCAACTCTAATGTCTTTGGCTAGATTATTCCAGCAGTAGGTGTAGGCTGACTCTACAGCAACTACAGTACCAACGATAAGGAGCTTACAGGCACCATCACGAATTGGGAATATAATGATGTGAGAATTAGTCTCAAAAGGTCGAACTAGCTCAATATAATTCTTTCCGTCATTCATCATTAATTCTTCCCACTGCATTTCTGTTAGTACAACAGATTTCTCAGTATATTTAGCTATTGTGTTCCTCTTAAATGAGTCAATTAGATCATGGGATGGTGCTTCAATATAAAGGGAACCAGGTGAATAGGTGAGGAGCCCACCATTTTGCTCTAATCTTTTAATGTCTTCCATAGCATCATTGCCAAAGCATTGATACAATTCTCTCGACATATCAAACCTAATAATAAAATAAAGAAGTACATTATGTACACTTACATAGCTCAAGAGTATTAAAAATACATGTAATTCAACCACAACTACATTGTACATGTATTGCTTTCAAGTTTCAATTTTTTGTTCACCAAACAACCATTAATCTATCTACTCCTTACTTATGCTGGTAGTTATCTTATAAATAAGCTAACAAACACATTTGCCAACCACTTACTATAAGCATAGTACTACTATTAATACATCTTTATATACATAAAGGTATTATTATTTGCTACACACGTACACTAACATACCTCTGGTGAACATAATTGTTAGATGGTGAAGGAGAGCAAGTGTCATTAAGTTTCACTTGTACGGATGCTCCCTTCATCTCCAGCCCATTCAACAGCACAGTAGCACTAAATGCATCAGCCATATCAGGAAACGTCACGGTACAAACAGTAGGAGAGCTACGATATAAACCTTTAATGTTAGCAACAGATGCAGTAGTAATGTGTTCAATAATCTCTTGATCAGTTAGAGAAGGATCGAGTGAACTAATGACTATACTGCTAGTAGTAGCAGCTGTGGGAATTGATGATGTAGAAATAGGAAGAGTAGAAGATACTGGAATACTTTCTGGAGGAGGATTTGATGTAATATCTAGTAATGATGGATTACTAACTGAAGGATGTGATTGTTCTTGATTCCTTAAAGCAGTCGTATTATTAGCAGGTATATTTTGACTGCTAATGGTTGGTGACAATACGGTAGACAGATCCTCAGTTTGTCTAGTCCACGTTAAAGGATCGGACATTGTTTGAGATGACTGACTATTCGGATAACTTAAAAGATCAGTCGCTAATGCAGTGGTACCTGCAGTAGCATCTTGTAATTGATAACTATCTTGACTGAGTGATAACGACAACGAATTACCAGCCCCGCCAGTAAGAGAGAACTGAGACGGGCTGAGATTAAAGGATTGCGTACTATCAACTGTTAATAAATTCTGCTCGTTCATCGTATTAGATAACAGCGTAGTGTCATCTTGACTCAAAACAGGAGGAACGAAAGTCGATTGTGCTCCAGTTATGTCTAAATCTAACAGGGCAGGAGGGGGTGGCAATGGAGCTAATAGATCAATCTCCTCTATCCCTTCAGTTAATGGTACGTTAATATTCGTGACAGGAGGAGGAGCAGAGAAGCCATTGCTTTGGTTATCGTCTCCGGCTCTGTCTGTTAAAAGTTCGGGCCAATTGCCTTCTTCCTTGGAAATAGGTTGCTTTTCGGCCATTGTATCAACTCTGAACTAGAACTAGCGGCTGATTCTAGTCGTTTTAATAGCGTATCGAATGCCTAGTCACTCTTCCACTCTTACAGTGATTCTTGGAGTGAAGGGATTTTACCATGTTAGCAATGAATAAAGTTATAAAATTACAGTTAAATAGAAGGGGATTATGAATATATTAGGCCTAAGTAATAGATTTATCATCCCTGCAATCATGTTAATTTGCTGCATTGTAATAATGGCAAATAGCTTTATTACTTATAGATCTAGTTAATTTTTATAAAAAGCAAAATTTTCATATTATAGGTCCTGCAGCTTGCACCTTGTAAATTTTCTGCAGATCTCTGGCAAATCATGTGTGCAGAGCTCAGCCACCCACGCAAAAGTTGGACGCCCCTCCCATGTAACAAAACATTATTATTATTATGTCATAATCAGCACTTTATTACCAACGATTATTTGCATCATGGAGGAACGCCAAACTGGTGAGTTTTTGCATTATTTGCTTTACTACACCGTACTGGTACTGTTGTTACCTATTAGTGTAATGATAAATGTATTAAAACGAGCTTGCTCGAGCTGAAACTTCTCTGGCAAGGTGGATACTTTGCTGATTCCACGTGGTGTGTTTATACAGTCATTATTATCCATTTAATATTAAAGCTTAGGGATTATAATACTCAGTAATCATGTCCTTATTTTATTCTGATACCAGCCAATATTACAATCACTTTTTATTGAATATTTGCCCCC